ATGTCCATGGATGACATTGAGTTCCACCACTGGAATGCAGTAGTCAACAGCTCATATAAAATAGGCTGCTGATTTTGCTGCTGTCACTGTGGGAAAGCTTTTGGAACATTCACACAGCACTTTCTGCAATATCATGGGTGAGTATCATAAGTTTGGAGGCCATTTGCATACAGAACACGACGAAGGCTCAAGTTTACTGTCAAATAGTCTGCGCCAAGAGTTCCCATATGACAATTTTCTCCTGACTTTACATTCGCACCTCGCTTTGCAGCCTCACACACACCTATCCAAGTGCCGTTTCAGAGTTGTGCATGAGAGTGTGTGTATATGTGTGTGGGGGATGAGAGAAGCAGCAGGCTCCAGACATTAAAGTGAATTTTAACAAGGTATGACGACTGGCTGGTGGCACAGAGGAAAGCTGCCAAACCCCAGTCCTGTCCTGAAGACAGCTATCGCACCGCGCTTCCACCAGCTCCGGCCAATTAGCAGCTCTCTGTCCATCAGACCCAGCGACAGGCCCCGTCTGCCTGCCCTCCACCAGCTTATCCATATGAGCATTAATAATCAGGAAGGCTGCCTGCAAGTCAGAGCAGCTGGAGTTAGCCACTTACGCCCCAGCAGCATGCAGTACTTTCCACACAGATGACGTATCCACGAGTTTCACTTACTAAGCAAGACCTTCTGCAGTGCTGAGACTTTGGAATAAATTCAATACCGATGCAATCCAGAGTGCATTCTTAAAAATATAGGTGTTTTTGGGAACAATACTGTAAAAGAACCACTTGTGGTTCTCCAAAGAACCTTTAAAATGAGAGTATTAGGTATTAGGAACTTTTTTAAAGTCTACATAATGTAAATGTTTAATACCAATTAAAGTTTTGGGCCACACTTCACATTGTGTTTAACAACTGTGCAGTTACACATTCACAATACATGCAAGAACAATGTAACCATTGGCGATGGATTCACTGCACACTGAGGTATTGCAGTACTATAGCTTATCCTCACTTTTTTGTTCCTTCGAACTTTTAATGAGAAGGAAGGAGTTAATGTAACAAGATTTTATTATAAGTCATTTTGAACCATTTCTCTGGGTCCATTGTTCATGAAAAATTAACATAGTACTAGCTTTTTTAAATTATGTAAAAAAAGATAACAAAAAAAAGATTTTGTCTTATGTTATTACACATATTACATACCTATCAAGATTTACATAAACAGTACTATAGTAATCCATATGTAGCTGTGAATACATCATGTTTGCCCTGCAATGGACTGGCGACCTGTCCAAGGTGTTTTGGGAGAGGCTCCAGTACCCTCCGTGACCCAGAAGGATAAGCAGCATAGAAGATGGATGGCTGAATGAATGTTACAATGTTGTTGCATTCATTGTTAATATGTAACTACACAGTTATTAGACACACTTAATATAAAGTGGAACCAAGTTTTGTCCTTAACCTGTACTTCCTAGCCAAGGACTATTTAGGAACTTTTGAAGAGTGTAGATATTTATGTTCTGGGATATTTATACTCAAATACTGGGTTTTACAACAGCAACTTCTCTGTGGACGTAACTGAAGTTAATCTAATCAGCATTAATCTGTTAAAAAGCCACACTTCACTTCTTACTCTCACAACTACATAACTTACATATTAGTTTCAGAACAGTTACTGAATAATAAGTGACTAACTGAAAAATGAGCTTGCGATTTGAAGGGATTGTTACACCATTACCAACTGTCTGCTTTTCCAAACACACTGTCCCTCGTCACCTCTGCTTGGGAAAAGCTGCCACTCTGCCAAACAAACTTATCAGCATGAAGCATCAGTGTTTAATTTCCATGTCATACATTTTTCAGTAGTTACATCTGGGACTAAACCAACACTGACAAATGAAAAAGCATCACCTTGAATTAGCAGGTACATTGGAAACAACAATCTGTTTTCCCTGAGAGATTTAGGCCCAACTGTTAGTGCCCTCTTCACAGTACTCGCACATAATACACAATAAATGGAATCTCGTAATCTCCAAGAATACGATTACGTTCAATTAATGTGAAGTCATGCCTATCAGCAACGGTGCAAATTAGCTGGGGACAGAGGGGACATGTCCCCTCAACTTTTCAACATTGTGTGAGAATTTTTGTGGGGTGGCAGGATGTTTGTTGAAAAAATACACAGATAACATTGTTGATGATATTTCCCACTTAATCTCCCACACCAGTCATTATGCATTGTCATTAAAAGCTAAAACAGTGGGCGATTGTGTAAGTAAAAATGCAGTGTATGCACACTCAGCTGTGCCAAAAAACAAAAAAAATCTCTCAGTGTGCAGCAGTGCTTGATGAAGCAGGCAGCCCGACAGCTAACTTCACTACCTTTTCTTTGTATCAATGTTATGTGATTGTTCTCTGTCTTCACCATAAAATGCCCACAGTTCCAGTTTTAATATTGACATTTAAAGCATTTGACATTCTGAGAATGTGGTAACTTGGCATACTTTGTTTAGCTAGTCTCCAATGTATGAAACTGGCAACATTTATGTGGTGCTAGTATTGTATGTAGACTGTAGCCTTTCAGTGTTGCCCTGACAAGGTAGGTGAGACTAATGGAGTGGACACTAAGGCCCACTCCCATTTCACCTCCTGCCCCTACCACTTAGCCCTACCCCTCCTTTTTGTGTGTTCATGCCTAAGGGTAAGGTTTCCAAATTTTTGTTGAATTTGAGAGGTAGGGCGAAGTATTAGGGCTACATGACCCTTCAAACAGAGGCTTTTCAGAGGCACACTCCAAACAGAGTGTTATAAGAAAAAAAAGAAAAACTGGCAAAACGGCTGCGTAAGCGACCAAAGAAACTCACAAATGTGAGTATTTTCTCTGTTAAAAACATACAATAACCACTGTATTATCTTAGTTTAATGTCTTTTAATGTATTTTGGTCCTTTTTTCATAACAACCATAAAAAATTGCTAGTAGTTTGCTGATGTCTTGGTAGCTAGCTAGTTAAATTTCCCGATCCACCTTTAATGGTGCAGCAGTTACATTCTGGCACATCAGATGTCACTACTGCTGCAACATTTAAGGTGGAACAGGAAATTTCTAACAAGAAGCTGGCAAATAGCTGACTTCAGCTTCATGTCATCATAGAATTAGGGGTGGGTTATAATAAGTAATTGTTGCATCCCCCTTCTTTGAAGGCATATGATTCCCTAAATTTCACTAAAGACCAGCAGCAAGGCAAGGTGACACTTGAAAACAAGGGGTAGAGGTCAAAATAAGAAAAGGGATTTGGCCATAGTGGACACACTGTTTAATTAAAAACTACAGCAGGACTGCTGTGTCTGATCCACTCATACCAGTGCAACACTCACTAACATGCCACCACCACGTTAGTGTCACTGTGGTGCTGAGAATGATCCACCACCCAAATAACACCTGCTCTGGGGTGGTCCTGTGGGGGTCCTGACTATTCCTTAACACGTGAAAAAGTGGGCTAACAAATTATATAGAGAAACAGATGGACTACAGTCTGTAACCGTAGTGTACCTGTGGTAAGTTAAAGGGAGCTTATAAAATGGACAAAGAGTGTAGATGCAAGGTAGCTGTACCTAATAAAGTGACCAGCTGCTGCCTAGAAATAGTCATGACATTCTCTTTAAAGTTTCTGTTTCTGAGGTTTTAATACCACATCTATATGTATTGCTGCTGCTGTATCTTTGTATCTTTGTAACTTTATATATGATACTGTGCATAGTCATAAACAAATCTTTTATGGAATTTCCAGTCAAAACAACCACTGAATACAAGTTACTCATTTTTCAGGAGATTTTTTTGAGGAGACTCAAAACTGAAGTTAATAAATTCTGAAAAGCTAAAGAGAAAATGGGACTCCTAACAACTGTCCAAGACCAGGTAGACCACCAAAACTGTCCCCATCAGATAAACCATACTTAAAGGTTTCATCATTAAGAAAGGAGAAAATCAAGCTCCTGCTTTAGATCTGAGACAATCCAAGGGGGTTTTGTCCATCTTTCAACTGTGAGGAGACAACACAATGCTATCTAAAACCTGTCAAGAAGTCATTACTTAAAAATAGGAAATAGACAAAAAAAAGAAGAAAATGTGCAAATCACACAATGACCACAACAGAGTCCAGACCTCAACATCACTGAAATTGTTTGGAATCACTTGGATTCTGAGAACTAGAAAATGCAACCAACTTCTGACACTGAACTTTGGAGGTGTGGAAAAATATCCCTGCAGAATATTCTTTGGAAAAAACAAAGTAAGTCACCTGAAAAGAGTGCAAGCTGTAAAGGCAAAGAGTGGACACAGTTAAAACTGAACAAAAGGTATATTTAGTTATTTAGGCTTCTGTGTAATTTTATGTTAAATCTATGATGCTGAAAAGTGAATACTTTGTACATAATGGCCATTTTGACTGGACATTCAATAAAGGAAAGATGGTCTCTGATTCAGGTGCAGTTTTCTTGCACAGTTAATGAGGTCTTTCAGATTTGGTAAACAAAGTTTCTCAAGAAACTTTTACTGTTTACTATAATTTATTGTGGGAAAATTTTTCAACCTCGACATTCACTACCCAAGTCCATTGCAACTGTGTCCCTGGAGAGAATCTCTTTCCATCTCTCACTATATGTACACAATATAGATTCTATATTATGCAACTTCACCTGAGGCTTGTTTTTTATTGAAGATGCAGTTTCTCTCACTGGTCATAGTTGTTTACAGTAAACTAGACAGAAAGTCATTTTTTTACTCATTTAATGTGTAACTCTGACTATGATTGTGACCATATGATTATGAGATTCAGTAATGTATAAATTATATTATATAATGCACTAAAAAGTCATCTATTTCAGAATCCCTCTAACACAGTGAAGGACAAACACTAATCTCCTATGAAATGTTTCATACACCCGGTTGAACAGTTCTTAACAAACATCACATTTACTCTATGTAGAAGTAAACCAAAGCTTTACCTTCTCTGAATGTCTCCTTCATGTGATTTTATGTAGGGGTCCAGCTGGAGAAATTTGTTGAGGTCAGGAGGAGAGTTGTTTAGGCTGTGCTCCATCACAGTTGTCTGTTTTAAAAACTTTGTGAGGTTTGAGGTGAGGATGGAGGAAAGGAAAGTTGGTTGAACACAGGGGAGTGACTCTGGTGCAAAGTTAAGAAGGGGAGGGGAGTGGAGGGAGTAGAAGGGAGTAGGCGTTTCCCTGGGCTTTGCAAACAAACCTGACCAATGCAGGCTGCAGCTCAAATCCCTCCAACCGCCTTACAAAGACCCTCTTTGATACTAACCCAACTGTGTTATAGAACATTTGGCAGAGAACGACAGAACCAGAGGTGGAAAAAAGAACACAAACTCCTTACTCAAGCAAGTTTTTGCATTCTTTTTGGTTTAAAACTAAAAGCAGTTGTATGCACCACTACTCAAATTACATGTGTTGAAAATAAGTTCACACATCCTGTACAGAGAACACACTTCTGCACATTTTAATGCACAATTACTGTTTATTTGCTGAATGTAACACCTTTGGAAAAGTGGCTTGTTTTTCCAATATGTTAAACTCAGCAAAAAATAAAAATGCTGCACTACAATTTGCAGAAAAATGGAATAGTTAAGTTTGTTCCCCATAGTTAACTTATTAGAAAATCAACAAAACATGTCATTTGACTGAGGGTGTTTAAACTTTTGCATATGACTGCATATTGTGTGGAAGTGCAAACTGCCAGTTCCTTGTGAAGTAGAGAAATTGGTATATAAATCTATAAAGAGATTTTTTGCCTTTCTGTGCATGACAATGAGAAAAGTACAAGAAATATATGTAGATTATAAATAAATCTGAAATGAGTTGATTTCAGATAAATAAGTAGAATAATTACACTAAGTAGATTATATATCCAAATGTCACCAAGGTTTGAAGAAAATTAGAAAGTGAATCATCACTTTTATTACTGATTGTGGACTTTCTTGGCTGACTTTACGTTCCAAACTCACTAGCTGTGTCCCAATTCAGGGTCTGCATCCTTCGGAGGCTGCATTTGACGGGTGATTGCATCACAGTGGCGTGACTAGGCTGTCCCATTTCGAAGGCTCCTTCATACGCGGCTGAGAAATGTGTCCTTTTCTCTGGCAACCACCTGTTGGATCCCTTGCCAGCCAACATATCCTGTGGTTCATTGTGTGCCAGTGAGGATTTGAGAACATGGCAGCATCAGCAGAAGAGAGTTTACTGAAGAGTAAACTTTTAAATGTAAGTATTGGGTTTAAACCAAGTGGAATAGATGACATCAATGTGGTCTGAAGTAAAACTTATGCTAATGTTTCGTTTCGTTTTAGGGAGCAAGGAGTAGATAGAGGGAAGCATCTCCAGCTCTAATAAATGAAAAAATAACAAGACAGAGTGGCGGTTTTGTGATGCAACAGTAAGGGCGGGAACAGCGATTCTGTGATGTACACAGGAAATCCGCCGTAGAGCAGACTGTCTCATTTCTGTTTACCCTTTGCGGGTCTACGCAGCCCCTGAATTGGGACACACCTACTGCAAACTGACAGTCGTAACCATGGAGACTTGGTGGGAGGACCCTGCTGCAGCATTGTGACTTTCCATTGACTGAATGGGCTGTAGGTTTACATTAAACCTCATTCACACACTTTGGAACAGAGTAAAACAACTACATGCGGTTTCCTGATGAAAAATGGTGCTTCACAGGTCTCCTGGGCTAAACTTCACCCTCCTCACACTGGTAGTATCGTGTGATTGGGTGGAATTGGAGAAGACTAAATTGGGGAGGATATTGGGGAAAAAAAGGTTATCTAGATTTTCAAATCACTGTTCTGTCTCATCTTTTTACTCTGGGAATGAAGTTCTAGTGCAGCCAATTTCCACTCTTGGTTATTGTAATAGTGTTAACAAACCACATTTGGTGACAGTGAAGTTAAGAATATAGGGACTTTTTTGCATTGTAGCATCACACACCTGCATAATAAAGTACATGGGTTCAAAAGGTTAAACAGGGGTCCACTTTATCTTACAAAACAGAGTTTAATAAGTAAACTGAGGTTATTTTTTTGCCTCACCTCATCCTACATGTGTGGCATGAGCTGTAGACTACCAAGAGCTCAACAACAGGTCCACCGCTTGCACAAACATTATACAAAGACTTCCTGTGACATGTACTTGGATATGGCATAGCCTACGGAAACCATGCCAGAAATGCAGACAACGACAAGCAAAAGGCTTTTATATATTTATATACTTCTGCCTTAACACTTTAACCAATCTCCTGCAAAAGTGAGGAGAGAGACCTTGCTTTCACCTCTCGCTCGCTCATGATTTATAGTTGTATTGCAGAAGCGCTGGAAGGAAAACATGGTCTGCAGAGACGGGCTTCTGAGCTTTTATAGACATGTGTATTATGGCTGGCGGTCCCTTATGTGATGCCCAGAGGGCTGACACCATGCCTGTGAAGTGCTTCGGCCTCATTCTCCAGAGACATTGCCATGAATTTGATGCGGTTATGTTTCACGTCGAGCCAGAACAAAATTTATAGACAAAAACACCTCCATTCAATACATATCCATTCCACTTTAAATAAGACAGTGTCTGCTAAAGTGTAATATGGGCAATAAATGCAGGCAGATGTCCTTTGTGGGTGGAAGGAAGCAGCCTTGCATGATCATACATTCAGCAGAACTGTGCTTTATTCAGTTTGTGTTGGCAGGGCAGTGAGCAGTGGTGGGATGAATTCTCTCTAGGAAAAACATGGATAAGGAGAACAGAGCATAAATCAAAACTACCACCCATCACTTCCCCTATGCAGTCATGGTTTAAAGGACTCATATCATGGAAAACTGAGTTTTGTAAAGGTTCATATAATGGAAAACCGTATTTTCCTCACTGTCTTTCTGAATAAAAGAGTTTGAAATCATATAGTCAATAGATAGAAAGTGAGTTACAAAGAAGTTTTGAATTCACTGTTTTTATGACAGGCGGCACAGTGGTGCTGTCGCTTCACAGCAAGAAGGGCCTGGGTTTGGTTCCCCGGCCGAGTCCTTTCTGTGTGGAGTTTGCATGTTCTCCCCATGTCTGTGTGGGTTTCCTCCGGGTACTCCGGTTTCCTCTTACAGGCCAAAGACATGCAGTCAGGCCAACTAGACATGCTAAATTGCCCCTAGGTGTGAGTGTGAATGTGTATGTCTGTGTGTCTGCTCTTTGATGGACTGTCAAGGGTGTGTCCTGCCTTCTGCCCAATGACAGCACCCAGAAGGATGAGCGGTTTAGAAAATGTGTGTGTGTGTGTGAGTTTCTATGATGTCGTGAAAACCAACAAATTTACAGACACATATATTTTTACCCTACAGCAGTTTACTGAAGTCATATGGAGTATTTTAGAGCATTCTGCATGAGGCATAACACATAAAAGCCAATCTGAACAAAGTTACTTTACACTTATCATTCTTAAAATTTCTCAAACCTTCCGTGGTTACACTGTAACAGTGTTAGAGTGGTTTGGTGTAAAATACTTCATGCTAGAGAAGCCAACTGAGTTTACTGAGTCAGAATTGTCCACAGAGGCAGTGATAGAAACCAGATGTCTGAAGAGTTTATTGCCTCTGAAGCTCCCTCACAGAAAAGTTATTACTTAAAGTGGTCACACATACATTGCTTGAGGCCTGACAGTGTTTTATGACACTCTTCATAAAAGATATTTGGCCTAAAATGTCTTTTTTTGAACGATTTATGTTGGAGAGATGCATGCAGGACACCGTAAGGCAAAATAGTCACCCAATGAAAACCTACTTTTTCAGATAAGCGACTATTTTACCACTATCAAGATTACATGTGCAATTCAGAAGGCATGTTTAGGTTCACTGGTGGTTTTGGATAATAAATAAAGCAGTTAAATTTGTGTTGCAATTATTGTGACCCCTGGTTCCTATCACCACCATTATAAAGAAATCTGAGTAAGTTCATTTCTCTACAATGAACCATTTTACATCCAACCACTCTGAGTGAGTTTGTTTACATCACAACTATTAAATTAGGTAGAAAAAGTGAAAAATCATTGGAATTTCCCCTTAAAAGCACAAAATCAAAACAGTCCCTATTAATTCTAAGGGATAAGGATGGCATGGACATTTATTCCATTTATAACATTGTTATGACAAGCTTAAAAGGCAGATACATAGTTAAAAGATGAAAACAAAGTAGTTCACGGTGCTTTGATATGAAACGCACTGGAGAAACTTACCAGCTTGATTGAACCACAGATTTCTCATCTTTGTTGAAACAATGGGCTGCAAGAGCTTGTATTTCTAAAAAAAAAAACACTTCTGAGTTGGTAAATTCATGTACAGTGCACTTTTCCACATCAACCTACTCTGGGCTGGGTTTCCTAAAGCATCTTTAAAGCACAGAGATCACTTTAAACACTCTCTCTGCCAGTTAAGATGATCTTAATTCTATAAAGCTTTGGGAAAACAGGCTGTGAATGACTTTGTGTATATCTCAACAAGCAGATTTTGCAGAATCTTTGGGAAAATCAATGGAATTCCCCTTTAAGAAAACCATATATCAGTTCTTTGAAAGATCTGATGTTCTCAAACTAAAGTGATCATTTTCATAAATATTTTATTTTATCTAAATGTCAGTGGTACACAGTACAAAAATCCTGTATGTGAGTGAGAGCAGAGATATCTTTGGCAAAATATTACTTGGGGAAAAGCAGAAGTCCTCTATCTATGTTTTTATAAGAGTTAAAGTACAGAACTACTTTAAAATGTTTTGCCTTATAAACATGGTTTTGTGAATATGGACATAAGCTGTTTATAAATATTCAAGTGTTGCTTTTTAAATATGTTCTTCAAATTTGTTATGAAGTCTCTATGCAGGCAGCCTTCTGCATTTACAGATATCTATCTATTCAGCTTGCAGCAGTTTAGCCCCACCAGTTCACACTTATAGTATTTTAGCCTGTGCTGCTTTCTGAATGAGGCAAAATATAGCTAACCAGTCAAAAGAGAGCTCATTTACATATATTTTACATATATCTTGAAGGCACTGTAACAAAAGCAGCTTGTTTAATTTTAAGGGATAAAGAGAGTTTGGAAAAAGGTCAAGTAAAATTTAATTATGATGGTTTTTAGTACATAAAACCACACAAATGTTATACATGGATCTCAGGAGAACAAAAACAAAATGAAATGAAAAATGTGGGATATGGGCATTTAATTTTGACATTTTGAGTCATCTGCCTTATTGGCAGTTGTCCTTCTGGATGCTGGCTAGATGTACGAGCAGCGTAAGGCGATAGAGCGAGAGAGAGAGAGAGAGAGTGAGAGAGAGAGAGAGAGAGAGAGAGGAAAAAGGAGGGAAAACGGATATATTGCTTCCCTTTTGTCATATATCTCCAGCATCTATTCAATAAATCTTACTGCCTCTCCCAGTTCAATGCAACTGACAGTTACAAAATGAGCCTATATATATTGTGACGCCATGACTCTATCTCATTTTGCCTGCAGCTATAATAACGTTTCTTCATTTTGTCTTCAGGAAGTAAGTAAGGGAGAAGATATACTGTATTGTACACACTGCCACGGAGTGAATGTTACAGCCTGGTGTCAAAAGGC